GCAATTTTGGTTATCCTGTATTTAAATTATTGGACTGCTAAGTGGTTAAGACTTCTTGAAAACTGAATTTCACACTTGGCCTAGTTTGGTTGACCGGGGAGCAGATATGTTACGGTCTCTGGTTGCTACTGTACTTAAGCTAAGTGTTGGTCTGTTGCATTCTTGTATCTCTTCTCCTGTGTGGCTTAGTTCCTCTCTCATCTGTGTGTCAGCAACTTGAGACTTTATATATCGCGACTTTTAAATCAGTATCAATACTGACATTACTGTAGAGGTGCAATGCACATACCTGTGATAAAACACAGCCTCATTTTCCAGTCTCCCTAGTTTGGAGCTGGTATTACATTATTGAGGTTTACTAGGTCTGCTAGGTAACTAAGGGAAATGGGGAGTAAAAGTAAAGAAAAAATCATTATCAATGAAATTTTTGCCTCTTTAAAACAAGAACATGAAATTAGCATATGAGGAAAAGCTAGTTAATTAACATTTATACCTGTGCTGCAGGAAGGAAATTAGCTGTCAACAGAATAGTTGATAGATGGCTCAGACCTTTTGGGCAGGGGAGGAAGCTCTACCATTTTTCTTGAAAAACACGTTCCTGTCAGGTTAACGTTTTATTTTCTCCTACTGAGGTAGCCATGGTTACAGTGCAGGCATGTTGATAAACGGCAGGTGACAGTCATTTTACTGAGGTACTAATTGAGACTGAGAGCAAATACTTTATGCAAAGGGTGAATCTGGATACCACTGCGAGGGTCCAACCAGGTAGTGGGCCTTGCTCTGGTGGTGGTGGTGGTTGCTGGGTGGGGATCCTGTTTTCCAGTTGTTTTTAAAGAGAAGTCCTCTTTATTTCTCATAACATTGTTCAACATTGTACCAGCTACCTATCTGATTTCGCAGCTTCTTTAATTTTCCTGTTAATCTCTTACGTAGTTCTTAAGCTTATTTCTAGCAAAGCTAATCTTTTCCCCTGAGACATTGTTGCCACCATTCCTCCTGTGTCCCTTTATATAAATACAATTATGTAAAATCAGCAATTAAAACCATGGATGAGAAAAAGTAGGCAATAAGATATTAAACTTTCCAATACCATAATTAATAGATTTATAGAGCACTGCTTTGTAAGGTACAGTGTTGGAGCCTTCAAAATAATTCACTCTAGAAGGACCTGATGGATAAATTCTGTATGTTAAATACAACTAATTATTCACATAAGGGAATAAAATGGTTAAGAAATAACATTTGCTTTTCTTAATTGCTAGGTAAGCAAGTCTTAGTTTCATTATCAATAATTTTTGCTATCCTGCTAGTACCCTGCCAGAAACTTGACGGCTTGTATATGAATGCTGTATAAAGTAGATATAAATTCGAATTCAGCGAAATTCCTACCCTTTAGAGTTTTCCATTCTGAAAATATTTTTATCCGTATGTCTTTCTCTTTCTTCCTTTAATGAAAGTGACAGTAACAATAAAGTCAGCTTTTATTCACTTTTTTTTTTTTTTTTCTAGTACCGGGAATTGAGCTTACGACTTCGCGTTTGCCAGGCAGGCGCTGTGCCACTGAGCTAAATCCCCAGCCCCTTATTCACTTTTTAAAACATTTTATGTGCCCTACATTGTGATAGTTAACTGGTTACTTACAAAATGGATTTATTTGGCCATAACAGTTTAAACCAGTTAACTTTGGGGAGATCTTAATTTAAAATGAGTCAAAAAAACATTTTGACATATTTTGAGCTTTCAGTTACCTTCTCTTTCTCACCAAACTGAGAGGTAGATATTGAATCCATCTGCTAAAAATATTCCTGATATGTTTTTAAAATATTTTTGCATAAGAAAGCACTTTGACCTGTTGTAGAAAAATTAGAAAATGAAGGTGCTATGAAGAAAACCAGGCACTGGGGATTTAGCTCAGCGGCACAGTGCCTGCCTGGCAAGCACAAAGTTGTGAGTTCAATTCCTGATACTGGAAGAAAAACAAAAACAAAAACAAAAAAAAAAGAAAACCAACTACTCAAAGATTGCCACTCAGCTATATTTACTTCCAGTTATTTTCCTTCTTTTTAAAATTAGGATATATTCATAATGTATAATACTACTTTCATTTGGGGGAATTGGTACATATATATAGTATATCTTAATCATTTTCAGTCTCCTTACCCCCACCCTCTCCACTCTCTGCCTCCACCTATTTCCTTTTTTGTTTGTTTTTTGAGACATGGATCTCACTGTGTAGTTCAGACTGGCCTTGAGCTCACTATGTAGCTCAGGCTGGCCTCAAACTCACAGCAATCCTCCTGCCTCAGCCTCCTGAATTCTGGGCTTACAGGCGTGAGCCCCCATGCCTGGCTTGCCTCCACTTGTTTTCAAAGAATATGTTATAAACAAAATTGGAATAATTCACATACTTTTGTATCCTGTTTTAGTTTTCATTTAATATTATATATAAACCTTTCCCCATGCATTAAAATTTCTTTGAAGAATAGCTATAGAATACTGCTTCAGATGGATGTACTATAATTTATTTAAATATTTCTCAATTGTTGTTTTCCATAGGTTATTTTACATTTGTAGCTCTTCTGAATCTGCAGTCGGTATGCACATATATATGTATATATATGTAAATTGTTTGAGACTAGTTATTTTTAGACTAGATGTATACAAGTCAAATGAACAGATCAGAGGAGGTAAACTTTTACAAATGCTGTCTAATAAATAAGATTGCGCTCAAGAGTGCGGACTAATTTCTAGCAGTATACAGGAATGCCCATCTCACCATATCTTTAACAGTAATTTTGACAGTGCCTCTCTTTTCAGTATCATTTACTAACTCAATAGCAGTAATTCAACAACTTTTTCAAAATGTACGTATCCAAACCCATTTCAGACATATTTTAAAGATAAACTACTTGGAGTAGACTGCTTAATGAAATGGGATAAAGTTTAAGTTTTTAAAAAAAAGTTGCAAAATACTGTCCAGAATTATTTACAAAAATACTTTCATGTAAGCACTGTAACACTGTCAGATGTCTCTGCTAATACAAAATAAATGATTTTTAAAATTTCTTTGTGTTCATTTGTGTTTCCCCAAATTTTTGTTTGCTGATCGGAAATGTTTACTAAAATAATAGAACTTCATAATTAAGCTACAGTACAGATGCTCTACATCCTTAACTTCATAAGCCATCCAAAAGTTTTGTGTGTATGGTAACTTGGCATGGTATTTATTTATTTAAGGAAGTGGGATATTTCTCAAGTATTAATAATGGGTACTGGGCTGGGCATGTAGTGGTGGAGTATTTGCCTAACACTAAGAGGCCATGTGTTCCATCTCCAGCACCACACACACACAAAAGAAAGGTACTAGCCTTCATATGTTCTGCCAGGTACCTGTACCTGAGAGTGTCTTTGTTTTTGACTTACACATTAGTGAGTATTTACTTACTTACTTATTTGTATCTGGGATTGAGTGAGGGCATTTTCACTAAGTTTCATCCCCAAGCCTTTTTTTTTTATTTTAGGACAGGCTGTCCCTACGTCAGTAATTTGCTCAGGCTGGACTGGCACTTCCAGTCTTCCTGCCTCAGACCCCCAGAGTGCTGGGATTGCATTCGGGAACTACCATGCCTGGGCACAAGAGGGTTTTTTTGTTTTTTTTTTAAATGAAACCTTGAATGAGTTTGAGTGTTTGGCTTGCTTAGAGAAATGTAAGAAATTTTATTGAACTAGTTATTAGAATCTTGATACACCAGAATTGCTTAGGGCCCAACTAATTCAAACATTAGGATGGTAAGTTTTCTCTATGTTCAAATTAATAAAGTGGAACAAAAATAGTTCAGAACAGAGTATCTGAGAACTAAGAAGCAAATCATTTTTTAGATTTATTGTGAATTTATTTTGGTATGGTATTTATACCTTAAGAGAGGGCCTCATTAAAAGTGCAGTACGTATGTAATACACTATGATATGTGAAAAAAACTATTAACAATCATCCTTATGTGCTTTTTAAAAAGATTTTTTTCTACACATAGAGCGTGAGCTAGTTAATCAGTATGAATTTTCCAATAAATTCAGAAGGTAAAATGTATTAAAATATATTGAAAGAACTTGTTCACCTGAATTCCTAGCATGAGAGGTAAGTGACAATTAATTTTTAAAAAGTTAGAAACTGCAAAAAATAAAGAGGTAAGTGACATAGATTAAACTGAAGTATATATACATTTCCACAATGTAATGAATTTGACATCACAAAATAGTCCAGAATTCAAGATCCAGTATTTAAAAGCTAATTCTTGAGCTGATTGTGGAGGTGCATGCCTGTAATCCAAGCACTGGGGAGGCTGTGGCAGGAGGATCCCTGGGAGTATGAGGCCAGCTTGGCCTACTTAGTAAAGTCCAGGCCAGCCTGAAATACACAGTGAGACCATGTCTGAAAAAAAAAACAAAACTAATTCTTTTGCCTCTCTCCTTTACACACTTTGTGGTAATTTTATTTTTTGTTTTATTTTTCACTTATTGATTCATTTGTTTTGTGATACTTGTGCCTACTAAGCCAGGGCCACATACTCTGTGGCACTTTTAATGAAACAATTTTTATGTGGCACTTGTAATGAAATCCTTTTTTTTTTGATATGGGATGTTTTTCCTGGTTGCTCATATCCAAGGTTTGGATTGCAAGAAAACGTCTGCCTCTTTTACAAGGGTATACACAGCTCACATCTCTGATTTTCAGTATTTCAATGTTTTCTTGACCACAGTGATGGAATAGATATTTATAACATTACACTAATTTTGTCAGTGTTTAGCGTAGGAAAAATATCTCCAGAAAAAGTTTATTCAAATTATTTCTAAGAGAGAAAACAAGAAAAATACCATTATTAATTACAAAAGTTGTCAGTCACATGTTTGTTTTTCTTGATGGAAATTGATATGCCTCTAGCCTAGTGTCGTGGCCTTAGCAAAATCACTTACTAATAATACATTTTGTTGTTTTTCTGTAGATGTGTTCTTTGTGCCACTGTCCTGGAGCAACAATTGGTTGTGACGTGAAAACATGTCACAGGACATACCACTACCACTGTGCATTGCATGATAAAGCTCAAATACGAGAGAAACCTTCACAAGGAATTTACATGTAATTATTGAACTTCACCTTACATTGTTTAAAGTCATAATCTGTGGGCTTTTGTAAAAAAAAATTTCCCATTTCAAAGCCTTTCACCATCATCATCACTGAGTGTTTTTATAAGGAATTCAACCATTAGATAATGGTACAAAATGTTTGTTTCATAGTAAGATTTTTTATATCCAGCTTGTAATCGAGTGAAGTGTGCTTCTCGTTTTCTTAATTGCAAATAAGAGTTTAATTTAGTTTTCTTACTTGACAATTTTTAATGTCTTCACTGCTTTTGTAGGGTTTATTGTCGAAAACACAAGAAAACTGCACATAATTCTGAAGGTATGTCATTTAGCCACTTTTTCAAGAGGAATTTAAGTAAAATATGAGTAATTGTCCTATCTTAATTTCTTAAGATGATCTCAATATTAAATATTTATAGACAGATTGAGAAAATCATTGTTAAACTAATGTACATAGCAAAAGAATCTGAATTTTAGAAGTACTTTTACCTTAAAGTTTAATAAAGTATATATTGAAAATTTATTTTAAGAAATGGTGACATATTTCTGTAAAGGTGATAAGGGAGAATGCGATCTTGGGAGTGCTTGAGATACTCTGGATTACAGACTTCCTTTTGTAATCAGCAGACTTTCTGTTAAATTTTTACTCATACTGTAGTATAGTAACTCCCCGCTCCATGCATGGTTCTGCTTTCTCTGGTTTCAGTTACTTCTGCTCAACCACAGCCCAAAAATATTAGATGAATTTTCCAGAAGTAAACAATTCCTAAGTTTTAAATAACTTTATTATAGAATATCTTTATAATTGTTCTATTTTGTTTTTAATCTCTTACAGTACCTCATTTATAAATTAAATTTATTATATTTATGTATGTATAGGAAAAAAGTAGTATATCGAGTGTTTGGTACTGAGCATGGTTTCAGGCCTCCTCTGGGAGGCTTGAGATGTACCTCCTACAGAAAAAGGGATAAACTATTGTATTTAAAAAATACATATGTATAAGTAATCAAATTTTTAAAAGAAAATTAGTTTATAGTTTTTTTCACTTATATTTAAATAAAATCAGGTTAGTCATGTTTTATATGAAGTGTGATAAAATAGACAGTGAAAGACACATTGCAATTACTCTTTCTCATTTTGAACACACCTATCCCATTGTTCTTAAAACTTTTTGAAGCAGTTCTGTAAGTTCTCTTTAATGAGTGTCTTTAGGAGATGTGATCAAAAGTATGGTGAATGCTGCTGCATGTCATCCAGTGGAAAGACAGGTTTATAAAAACACAATGTGTCCTTATGTGCCTTATTCACCAGATCTAGCACTGTGTGACTTTTGGTTTTTCCCCAAAATCAAAGTGATCATGAAAGGTAAGTAAAATTGATTCAACACATCAAGGCAGCCATGACAACACAACTAATGACACTCATGAAAGAAGACTTCCAGAACTGCTTTCAGAAAGTGGCAAGAATGATGGGATAAGAATGCTCAAAGTGAGGAGGAGTATTTTGAGGGAAATTATTGGCAGTGTGTTTTTTCTGTAATAAATCGTTTTTTAATTTAAACATTCACTGTATTTTTAGATAATACTTTTATATATAGTTGGCCTTTACAACTGGTAAGTTCTCAGATTGAACTCTGACTTGTTTCATACCTTTTCAAACACATGATTTTGATACTTTTACTAGCCATGTGAAATGGCTTAGAGTAAGTCTGAGATTGTTCTGTTCCTTCATTTAGGTTAGAGATCTTTAAAATTTTTGTTAGCTTTTAAGAATATGCTGCCTAGAACTTATATAGATTGAATACTACTTTTTAGGAAGTTGTTTCTTTTATAAAGACTAATCTGTATTATTGGTGTTAACATATTAAAATTGATAGTCCGTTTTGATCTGTTTGAGTCATAGTTTTATAATACAAAATAGTGCTACTTGCACTTTTTTTTGCAGTACTAAGGACTGAGTCTTAGGGTCTTGCACACTAGGCAAGTTTTTTGCCACTAAACCACTTCCTTAACCCCACTGATTCCTATATTCCAGATTAATCTAAATATTTTTAAATAGTTTAAAATATAATCATGGACTGGGGATGTAGCTCAGTGGTAAAGTACTTTCTTAGCATGTGTGAGGCCCTGGGTTTGATCCCTAGTGCTCTCATGAGAAAAAAACTTATATAGTCAGATTTTCTACCACATAATGAAGTGTCACAATGTATTATAAATATGTACAATTATGGTATGCTAACCAAAAATTGTAAAAAGAAATATTTAAGGAGGTGAAAGCACTGTTTCCTTTGTTTGATCATTATGTATGTATCAAATTATTGCATTACCTGTTAGATACAGACAATTAAAATATAAAAATTTAGTTTAAAAAATACAGTCTCCTGCAAATACTAGCCTTAAGGTAAACAGAGTAGATAAATAATAACAAAATAACAAAATGCCTTTGAGGTGATAAAGTGTAACTCAAAAGCCTTTATAGATTTTTCTTTGTTTTCTTGATTTTTTTTCTTGATCTTTCCTTTTTTCCTTTGATTCTAGAATTGTATTAAAAAATCTTTTGTGAAAAGCTATGGTTTCCAACCTTTCATTACTTCAGATTTTAACAGGATATTTATTCAATACACTTTTAAGATTGTAGTGGCCATGTATGTTAACAGCTGAGAATTAATACTTGTGATCTGATTAATACGAGTATATGAGCATACTGGGACTGGAGATCTTTAGGAGGGATGATTAATACACACTGATTAATGTAGCTGGCCCCATTTTATTAACTAGATTTCTGAATCTGATAGTACCATCTAGTGGTGGAGAAAGTTACTGCAATTTTTTGCTCTTTGAAACTTACTAGTAAAAGAGATCTAGTTTCGTGCTTTCCAAGGCAAGTTGTCCTTTAATGTATGTAACTAGCAGGGTTACTACAACTTCAGATCTATTCCTTTAGTGTAACTAGCAGGGTTACTACAACTTCAAATCTGTTTCCTTTAGTGTAACCAGCAGGGTTACTACAACTTCAAATGTTTCCTTTGATGTAACTAGCAGGGTTACTACAACTTCAAATCTTTGAATTGAATTTTGTGTTCAATAGAGTATGATGGGCTCTTGTATCATTGGTATATAAAATGTGTTTATACTCATATTGTAGAACTTGAAGCATAATTTCACATTTTAAAACTATTACAGAGTTTGCACTTATTGAATTTTGGCTTTTATCACATTCATCTAGTGTAAATTTACTGTACATTGTGTGCTTTGTCAGAAGCAGAACTTTAAATTATTCTGATGGAAAACATATGTTCTATTTTATGATTGTGATTTATGGTGGAAGAGTTACAGGATTGGATTTCAGGGATTGTGTCTGAGAATTGTATTGCACTAGTCTCTAGAGCAAAGAGAAACTAATACCTGTGGTAATTTATTGTTCATTTGTCAGCTGTAGTTCAATATTTCTGATGCTTAATATATGGTAAATGTTGTACAATTCAGTCTTTCATGTTAGCTGTATATAATTTGTATTATTTGTTTTTAAACAGAAAAAAAAACAAGAACTAACAATAAAACAGAGTTTCAAAACAGGCTAGTAGGACAATAAGAGTAATCAACACATAGCGTGTTGTTATATTCATAGTAGTTGTTCAGAGTACAAGAAATAGGCATGAAACATTGTCCGGGAAATTACTAGCACAAAACTTTCCCGTCGGTGAACCAAGACAAACCAGCTGTGTAACTATCTTAACTGTCTTATGTATGTACAGTATATATTTTTTCTTTTCCCCTTCCCTCCTTTTCCCTTTCTTGTATCACAGTTTTATTTTTATCAGTTTTTTCCCTGTTCACAATATTTATTGTACCTTTTGGATCTTGTTTACTCTTTCAGATTCTCACACTAGTGAGACAATACAGTGTTTACACATGTGGGTCTGGTTTATTTCACTTGTGAGTATGGTCTGGAGTTGCATCCATTTACCTATAAAAAGTCTCAACTTTATCTTTCTTTATGGCAGAATAGTACTCCATTATATAAAAAAAAATACAACTTTTTTATCCATTCCTTGGTTAATGGGCATTTGGGTTGCTTCCAAGATATAGCTATTACAAATTGTGCTGTTATAAACATGGGTGCACATATATTGCTGTGGTACAATGTTTTTAATTCTTCTGTGGAATGATACCCAGAAGGGGAATAGCTGGGTCAAGTTGGACCTCTACTTCTAGTTTTTTAAGAAATCTTCATACTGCTCTCCACAGTGGTTGCACCAGTCTGCACTCCCACCAACAATGGGAGAATTATTTTGAAATAATTCATAATTTGATTTTATCTTAAGTAAAATATTACTTAATACTAAATATATGTAATTAAGTAAAATATTACTTAATACTAAATATTTTTTTTCTTTTTTTCTTTTTCCAGTATCGGGGATTGAACTCACAACCTCGTGCTTGCCAGGCAGGCGCTGTGCCACTGAGCTCAATCCCCAGCCCCCATCACTTTTGCTTTAGAAAAAAAATGGAGTGTGAGTTTGCAGAAGCAATTTTTTCTTTATTCTGTAGTCCAAAGTATCTGTTAAACGGAATTTTGCTTTGTCACCAAGTGCTTAAAATGCCCAGGGACTATGTATATTTACGTCTTAGTGGTGATGATCTTAGGAAGGCTGCCTGCAAAATGACATGAAATGTGCAAGAAAGCATTTCTGTTTTAAAATATCTCCCCTGAGCCAAGCGTGGTGGCGCACGCCTATAATCCCAGCACTCGGGAGGCTGAGGCAAGAGGATTGTTCTGAGTTTGTGACCAGCCTGGGCTACAAAGTGAGCTCAAGACCAGTCTGAATTGCATAGCGAGACCCTGTCTCAAAAGACAAAAAAAAAAAGAAAGAAAGAAAGAAAGAAAGAAAGAAAGAAAGAAAGAAAGAAAAAAATATATCCCCCTGTCAGTGGTGATGGCAAACCAAGAACAAGGTCTATTTGGAGTTATACATACATTGGTAAATTTATTTCACCCACAATGTGCCGGGTTTCTTAGATGACTAAGGATATAGGGATAAGTTAGGTGGGTCTCTGACCTCAAGAAGGTTAAAGTCTAATTTGAGAGGTGTACATCAAATAAACAATTGCACAGTTAATTGGTTATACTTATATCAAATAACATGAGTGAGAAATATAAGGTACCATGAACACATGTGGGGGGCTTAGCTAGAAATGTTTCATTTAAGTTAAGACATAAAAAACTAAAAAGAGGAATGAAGGAGCATTCAATGCAGAGGGATCCAAAGTAAAGGATATAGTGTACATGGTGAGGTTGGAAGAGGAATACATGGGTCC